CCTAAACCCTAAACCCTAAACCAGCAGCCCAGTACGGGCAAGAGCATTATCCAGCGCTACGGCAGGGATGCACTGGAGCGGCTCCTGCAACAGATGCCGAACCTGCTGCCAGCCCGCACCGTGCGTTCATTTTGTCTAGGTTCTAGGGCTCATAGGGTTTAGGGTTTAGTGTCATTTGGGACTGAAGGTTTCAGGAGGATGTAAACTTGGAAGGCATGGCGCCCCAGTTTGATGACTCATCTAACCCCATAATACAGTATAGTATAATTACTATAGTAAAATATGCTATACTGTACGATAATACATTATAGTATATTTCTATAGTATACTATGATATACCATAACATACGATAATACACTGTAATATACCATGGTACACTATAAAAATCCTATAATTTATCATAGCTAGGGCTTGCACGCTACCGTGGATGGGGGCAATCTTGCACAACATTCGGGATGCTATGTCGTTTCTGTCCGCCGTCACTAGGAGAATACTCCAGTTATAACCACCGCAAGAACCTAAAGGTTCTGGCTATAGTCCCGCTTAAGTAGATAGAATATGAGGTATATGGGGATCTTGTTATAGTATACCCAAAGCCATATTCTATCTACTTAAGGTGGAATATCTACTTACAACCTGCAACTTACAACCCTAGATGTCTGAGTCTACGATTAAGCCTATTCTGAGTAATTGCACTCAGAGCGCAGGTCTTGTTACTAGCTGTTGTGTGACTTGTCTTTCCACTTGGGTTCATGTTATTGGCCATTGCGGCCATTGTTGTTAACCCTAAACCCTAGACCCAAAATGGCCCTAAACCCTAACCCTAAAACCCCAAACCCTCCCATTGTTCTTACCTTCTCCCTGCTGTTTAAACCCTAAGCCCTAAACCCTAAACCCTGTTTCAAGCCCTCCAAGGTTGCAGACACGCAGCCATTGCCTCTTCTTCGGCAAATGGTTGTTGCCGAATCCGGCTGGCTCGCTGGCAAGGTCCGTCGGACTCATACTATCTGGGGATAATGGAAAACAATTGAAGCTACTATAGTATGTTATATAGGGCTTATATAGGGATAATGGAAAAGAAACTGGAAGCTACTATGGTTTTACCTCCTCATATGTCTACATAGAAACATGAACACCAACAAGGATATACACATATTCTTGTACCCCTACAAACTAAACCCCAGTACACCATTTCTGCAGGACTATTGCCTGCAAGCTTTGGTCCTGTCCGGTGGTTGGGTCCGCAACATGGACCCTACACCTCAAACTTTGCAAGCTACATATCCCTATGATCTCTCCAACCTCTTTAAAGGACCCTATATACCCCTGTAGGCCCTATAGCCTCTTTAAAGGACCCTATAAACCCCTACAATCCCTATAACATGTTTAAAAGGACCCTATGAATCCTAACAAGCCCTATAACCTCTTTAGAAAATGCTATGAACCCTAGAACTCTTTAAAGGACCTTGTAAATCCCTATGAGCCTTATAACCTCTAAAGCACCCACTGCATCCCTACAAGCCCTACAACCTACAACTTCTTTAAAGGACCCTATATGACCCTGTAACCTCTTTAAAGGACCCTAAATACCCTTATAATCGCTATAACCTCTTTAAAAGATCCCATATATCCCTATGATCCCTATAACCTATTTAAAGGATGCTATATATCCCTATAATCCCTATAACCTCTTTAAGGAACCGTACATATCCCTATAAGCCTAAAGCCCAAATTGTGTTCGCAGGAGTCCCCTCAGGAGTGCACGAGAGCTCCGCCACGAAAGCTGGTTCAAAGCCAGGCGGGATGTCTGTCTGTAGAGCCTCAAGGTTTAGGGTTTACGGATAAGGGGTCACTTTGACATTGGCGTGGCTTTAAAGGGGGTGTATGTATGGATAGTATATTGCTGCCAAAATGATGGACAATCCAGAAAAATCGAGCATGAAATGGAAGCTCTAAGTCCCACTAAAGGGGGTACACAGGTTAAAGCTGATGTATGTAGGGGGATCCTAAGCGACAATCACTAGATGGGTAGATATGTTTTGGTTGGGAGCGGGCATCGCAGCCACAAGCCTTGCAAAGGGGGGTCGTGAAATCGTAAAAAATGACAGCCCAAAGTAAATCAAGATGCTAATGATACAAAAAGCCCAAAGCAGGTAATACTTACAGACTTTAGGGAACAAAGTAGGCATTATCTACATACTTGGATCCCCAGGGATAGTCCTGTCTCATGTTTTCGATACAGGCAATACTTATGGGTTTAGGGTTAGGGGTTTGTGCGGTTTTTTGCGTAAACAGCGACAGGGACGTCTGAAAAGCAACGCAAGCCATCTTGCACAAATCGCTGCAACAGGAGTCTGGACTGCTAAACACTCAACCCTCAACCCTAAAGAGGGCGGAGATAGCAAACTACGGTGGATGGAGAAGACGGGCACTCCCCGGAAGGCTCGAAGTATGACTGGGTTGCTGTTAGGGAACTTAGATAAAGTTACCATAACAAGGAAGTCCCATTACTTACTATCTTCCGGTATTGTGGTAGCTTATTTGAAGTTCCTTTAACAGCAACCCAGATGATACTTCTGTCTTTGTAGGATATTGTAGGGCTTCCGGCAACCTTAGCAGGACTTGTAACAACAAAGGCGACGACAACACCTGGTGCTGCTGCTGCTGCTGCTGATGTTGCTGCTACGGTTTAGGGTTCTCATCGATTATTGCAATTACTGACTTACAGTCGTTATCATTGTTGACAGCGTTGCAGATACATTTGTTCGACCTCAGGCTTCTTAAAGGGTGATGGCTGTTGTTGATCTTGTTTAGTACTGCTCTACTCTCGAATCCAGAATCCAGAGCCCCTCCAGCCTTGACTCCGAACTGATCCCCAAATACAAAGACACATTCTGAATGGTCACTAGAGCTGTCTACCTGTGTTTTCTTGTAGCCTAATCAGTCCCCAATACCCTCTTGAAATCGCTTAGGCGTCTCTAGCCCATGTATATTCAGAAAAGATGTTTATCTACACCTTACACCCCTCACCTTCAAGCAACCTCGAGTCCACCCCAGTCTCATAAACACCTCATGCCAAACCAAAATCCGTACGCCCATTGACCCTAGACCTTGAATGGGTGCCTCTTTTTCAAGAAGTTCAGTCATATTTCTCGGGCAGGACATCTCCGTCCCAGTGCCCACTCCACGCTCTAAGCGGCGTCCTCCAAGCGCGCAAGACCAGGAACTCATTTGAAGGTATGGGATTGAAGAGCTTCGATTTCTTCAAGAGCTTAGGGCTATAAGGCGCTCGCGCTTAGGCTTTGCCAGAGGGTTCAGGTTAAAAGGATCCTGTGGGAAATGACATGGGCTACAGTCTATGTAAACTCCTAGTGTCCGCCTGTTTAACCCTAAAAATACTCCCCTCTACATTCCCCAGTATAATAACCATCATTAAGGAGTTTAGATCCTACACTCTAAACCTTATATAACTCCCTTTAAGGAGCTTAGGCTACAGCTCACATGGCACCCTTTACTGAGACGCCGTAGCAGCTACTCGCGGTTCGGATCCAGTAGCATTTGTAGCATTTAGGGTTTAGGCCTGGGGGTTGGAGATTTTGGGTTTAGGGTTTAGGGTTTAGGGTTGGGGATTTTGGTTTGCAATTAGGTGGCAATCGGATTTTTTGGAATGAAGTGGCTTAACTACGAGTCTCTACAGATTAGATTTCGCAGTCTTGCATGGGGTTCCAGAACCCTAAGCCCTAAACCTTAAACCCTAAATCCTCAACCCTAAATCCTAAACCCTAAAACCCTTAATCCTAAACCCTAAACCCTAAACCCCCCCCCATATCTGGCCATGTGAGCCACAAGGCCGACTACTGTACAGGATTTAGTTTCCATGTCGAGTTGCGGGCTTATGGTAAGCCCTAAACCTTGATAGTCTCCCTCAAGTAGATATGGCTTTGGGTATATCATAAGATGATCCCTATATACACTTAAGGCGGACTATAACCCTAAACCCAAAGCCTAAACCAGCGTCTTTTTTGTTTTTGGGTGAAGGTTTCGGCGGTTTGAAACACGTCGCAGAGGAAAATAATAGGGATGCTTTCAGCACCCATTATAACTCCATGCCATTTCGATTGTCGGCTTTCGCAGGATTTACGCAAGGATGTCTGGTTTAGGGTTGAGGGATAGACAGTCACTTTGCCAAACCCCAGAGACTCCTAGATGGTCCCAGGAGCAACGAGAGCGACCCCAAAGTGTTCGCTCGTGCGCCACGTGCGCAGTGTGCAGCTTCGATAGAGGGATTAGATGAGCCACATATCAGTAGTAAAGGGATTCGTATGTAACCTGAACCTACAAGCCCACAAATCCCTACAACACTAGACCCTAAACCCTGCTGGAGGGTTCAGAGAATATTAGCGATGGTCAGGGGATTTTACGGGAGTCCTGGTGGACTCTGAAACGATGAAACGGTGCTAGGGGGGCGTCGTAAAGTGGGGGCAGGGGTACCCTCTAAAAGGGATGTCAACTCACACACACACAGATATTATATATATATATACGAATGAGCTTCATATAGGGACTTAACTTAATGGGTTTGGGGTGAGAGGGTTTCCATAAAGTAGAGGCCCCTTTTTGGGACCCAATTTCGAAGCATCGCCGTAACATTTTTTGCACATGCCGATGATTGATCCGATCCACACAAAGAAGGGCGGTTTTTTTCCTTGCGCCATGGTGGTGCTTGTCTAGGGGTCTTACCATGAGTGTGTTGGGGGGTCCTTTTTGGAGCCAATTCTACCGGGGTCTCGAGGAGACCCAGAGACCCCACAAGACTGTAACTTCGGAACATGCCTTGACTGCTAATGCCTTGTCATATCTCTAACATGGCAAGCAGCGGAGCTTTTGAGGGGTTGTCTGCGCAAACGAGCCATCATTAAATGCCTGTGATTGACTTCAAACTTTAAGGTACGGTCGTCCCGCGCACAGCTCATGATTCACAGGTACTTCCCTGCCGTAGATGTACGAGGCTTGGGGTCGTAAGAGCTGGTCTGAGTATTGTTCAGGCATCTAGCTTCCCCCCGAGCTTCCCCCATAGAAGCCTTGCATACCCTCATACCTCCAGCATCCCAAAATGATGCCTGTGTAGGCCTTACATGAGGGTACCCGCCGGGTAATGCCCGCCCTGAAGCTCCACTGTTTTGGAGAAGTTCAAAAACACCCCTATGCCTTGACATAAGCAAAGTGCTTGGTGCAGTTTAGCTCAGGAAGAGGATTACGGATCCTTGTTCGTGGTTCTCTGTTCATTTACAATCGAATGTAATTACAGCTGCCTGTATTTATGCATATAATATACATCTATAAAGGTGCATGATCTATACATATGCATGTGTATGTATGTATATATATCTATGTTCCTATATATATATATAGAGAGAGAGAGAGCAGTGGCAGACATGTCTCATATCAGGATTAAGTGCGAAGGAGTTATGTGGATTGGATTCTGCAGGTCGCGGAACCCCAAGCCCTAAACCCCTAAACTCTAAGCCCTGAGCGCTTCCCTGCGAAGGAGCCATGCCAAGCGGACGAAGAAGTCGCTGATGTTGCGGGCACGCGCTCTTTAAGTTACACTCTGACAGCGAGTAGATGGGTAGTTCTATGTAAGCTCCAGGATTTTGGGTTGATTTAGCGTTTAGGACTTACAGGTTTGGAGGTCATATAGGGTTTCGGGTTAAAGGGCTTAGGGTCTACATAAGTAGGACAGCCATTATAGATCATTATAGTCATTATAGCTGAGCCCCACATCTAGGGGACTTCTAGCCCACATATAACTAGCCATGAACCTTCAGACAACAGGACGGATCAAGATATGCACCAACTAGGATCCCTAATTGCATTATGCCTCCGAAAGTGCAGTTGCCATAAATCCATAAATGCGGGATCCCACCATCAACTCCAAAATGTTAGAATCCTGATGATTGGTTCCCCCAAGCCATAAACCCTAAACCCTTTGGGAAACTTGAATTATGTGGGTCCCTAGGTTTTTATCGGATGAAGGCCTTCCTCCATCCTGCGCCATTCGGAGCGCTTCTGCAAGGTTGAAAAAAGAATCGAGACTGCCCATGGTCCGGGGTAACAGTTTAGGACGTAGGGCCGAGGACTTAAGGTGTATAGGGTTTAAGGTTTAGGGTTTAGGGCTAGAGAATGCCCACGTCGATTCATCAGGGTTCGTCAACGTTTTTTGGCTATAGGTCCTACGGCGGAGGATGTCCTCAGAGGTGTTCCAGCCGCTTCAGTTTTAGCATGTTGATCTTTGTCAACTCCGAACATCCCAGATATCACAAAAAGCCTTTCAGTGAACCCATCAAAGATGCCTCAGTGTCCTCCGGGGTGGCAATCAGCTACCCGAAGCGTCGGCTGCACAATCAAAAAGGATGGTCCCCGGTGCCGGCATAGCAGAACATCTCTGCACATCAGCATGAATTCCATGGACGTCCGCACATCATGCAGATTTTGAGCAAGTAGCTGGGCTCAAAGCACGCAGGCAAGGTCAAGGAGCCCAGAAGCCCGTCATCCCCATGACACGGCAGACCAGGCGGAGGTGGCCAGCATTGGACGATGGACAAAGGCGAATGGGCTGCTGCTCGTCCAGGTCCGCGGATGTGGTGGAGCCCCTACGGCCGCACGCCTTTGGCGCTGGCCCGACCTTGATAGTCTGTGCCTTTGCTGATGCACAGTCCTCGCGTTGGGAGCCGTTTGGACCTCCTGGGCTGCGGCTGTGGAGTTACGGCGAATCTGGTCCAAGTAAAGCACAGGCCATGGAGCTCATGCGGTCCATTTGTCTTCCACGGTTTCGCCCGCGTGGGCACCCTGGAGACCTGTTTCAGGCGCGAGCAGTCGAGAACGGCTTCCGCAACGTGAAGCTCCACCATGGAGATCATGAGTTCATGGGCTCATACGTTCTTCAGGATCAGCACCTGCAGGGTCTTGATATTGAGTTCAACTCCGTGAACAAGGCTGTTCAGTATGCAGCCGAGAACCACTACACGCAGGTGGGCGTTTTGATTTTGGCGAGTCCTTCAGCATTCCCCCGAACTTTGGTATGCCCTTCCTGGATCCTATGCCTGTTGCTTGTAAGTGCTGTTACATTTACAGTGTCTAGTTCCCTCGGGATGTTTTGCATCTGCTAGGTCGTCGTCCTGGATGTTCAGACAGAGGAGGCGATGGCAAGGGTGATGGGAGACTGTTCAGCATGTCCCCGCCGCGAAGGCCTGGGAAGCTTTCGTTGATGATGCTGTTAGTCCCATAAGACTTTGTCCGATTTGTTGTTGCTTGTAAGTGTTTTCCCTTTGTTTATTGCGAGTCCTTTGCGCCAAGAAAATTCCAAAGGCTAGGGCATTCTTCTTCCAAGAAGTCAGAAGGTTTTTTCGACCTTTCCGACACAGTGGTGGATTGCATGCTCCATTGCCAATGCGTGGGCTGCGGCACAGCGCTATCTCCCAGGCGGCTGCACATCGTGGGCCATCGCTGGCGTATGGACTTGAAGTATCTATGTCAGCCTGAGGGTTCTAGGGTTTAGGGTTTTTAGGGTGTAGGGTTTTTAGGGATCAGGGTTTAGGGTTTTTTAGGAGTTGGTGTCCAAAACCTTCAACCCTGGTGCTTTGCGGTAGGGGTTCTCCGAAGGTCGGAAAAGAGGGTGCGTGGTTGGAAACTAAATTAGCGAATGTGCTGCATTGCCATGGTTTCATGTTGGAATGGAAATAATTGGCAGATGGTTCTTGAAGTGTGTAGTCTAAAAACGGTGAAGACAGGCCAAAACGCAGGGCTCTCATGCGTTGGACCTAGACGTCCGCTTTGGGTGCATGTTGTGCCATACAACACTTCGTGCGCGTATAGAAGAACATCAGCCACTGTAACTAGCCGAACGTGGGGGTAGCCATTGCGGTAATATTAGGGTAATCCCCTCATAATGGAGAATCAAATGCAACAGAAAATGGAAAATTAAATGGAAAGTGGTATTATATAGGGTGTATAGGGATTTTGTGGTTTCCCAAACTTAGGGGTACCTTCTTGGGGGTCCCTACAACAAGGACTA